GAAGACGTCCAAATGGAATATGTTGTACACCAAAATTTACCCTATTCATTTTGAAACTATTTGGCGCATATTTCATTATCATGTGCATACATATCATTGGTTCAATGGTTATGGGATCAAGGAATTTCTTTCAAGCCTCACTAGGTTACAAGAGGCGTTTATTTCGTCGATTGACGCGCTCCAGACGCTCTCTAGGCTATTTATCAGTGATTATTCAGATAATCTCCATGCGTAGTTCCCAAGTTCTTTAACACGCCTTGAACGACGGGGAAAATCAAGTGTTTCGATGAATTCGGGACAATGTGAACTAGAAACAACGTTTTTGCTGGTTCGAGCTCAGAAATTTGCAAACTCACAGTCCATATACTGTTTCGAGTTGATTCCCCAGGCATTGGAACCGTCTCGGTATTTTCTTCATTACATGTGTTCAAGCCTGAGGCCAATTATGTGCAGAAAGACTCCAAATAATTTGATTTCCCTGAAGCGGTACTTGAATTTAATGACTGGTTATCTGTTTCCTGAGCGTTCATAAATTCTTAACTTTCATCTGATTCAGTATTTTTAGTTGATTCTTAGAGCACTGAGACCATCATGATTTTCTTATCATTTCTCATGTTTGGATCGAAGGCTAATTTTGTGAAGAAGACCTCTGGGAGTTTTAATCCTTTGAAGACGGTGTACTGAATTTAATTGTTGGTCCGTCATTACGCGAGCACTTAAAATTCATAACTTCTGATTGGAATACAGTTTCAGAATGGTTCTTGAGGCATTGAAATCATCTTAATGTCTTATCCATTTTGTATGTTCAGCACGAAATCTGATTCTTTGAGGAAGATCTCTGAATGCACGAGTAATTTGAAGCTAAACAGTGAGAAAACAATGAAAATACTGTGTTGAACTGTTATTTTTCGGATGTTCGAAAATTCATAACTTTCGCCCGGTTCATTGTTTTTTGAGCTGTTTTTTAGGATAAAAATTTGTCTTGATGCCATCTTCATTTTGTATGTTCGGGCCGAGAGCTGATTCTTTGAGGATGGTCCCCAAAATTATGGATTACCTGAGAAATAATTATGCTGAACAAAATTTCTATTACACCGTTTCTCGATATTGTAAAATTCGTATCTTCTTTGATTTTTATCGTATCACGACGGTTATTTCTCCATAATTTCAAAAAAATTGTTAGCTCTGAATTTGCTTCAGACCCTGAGTTCGTATTTTTATTAGAGGATTTTCGTTCGCAGCATTCTTTCCAGACTGAATGGTGAAAAAAGCTGAAAACAAAATAAGTTTGTCTGAGACAGTTTCGGAGCTGAGTCAAAAATTCATAACTTTCTCATTATTTATCCGATTGAGTCGTTCTTTTGGGAAAATGTCACGAATTCAGTACTCTTATTTTTTTATGTTGAGCTTAAATCGATATTTCGCATCGGTGATTATGTGGCATTTGGTACTCATATTGGGCCTTAAATAAGCCAACACTGTCAAAATGAGGCTCAATCCAATTTCACATCCAAGGCCCAATTTGCTCATACTATAAAGTTCAAAATCAGATTTTTCTCTCTCTCATAACACACACTCTCAAAAAACATAAAAATTCTCTCTCTTTCTCTCTCTCTCTCTCTCTCTCTCTCTCTCTCTCTCTCTCTCTCTCTCTCTCTCTCTCTCTCTCTCTCTCTCTCTCTCTCTCTCTCTCTCTCTCTCTCTCTCTCTCTCTCTCTCTCTCTATTTTGCTCAAAGATTAAACCAAGGTTTTATCACAATTTCTCAAGAACACAACAACAACTTCATCAATCTTCATCAAAAACTCAAGAAAAAGAAATTCAAAATTCACCAAAACTCAAGAAATTCTTCCTCTCTTCTCCGATCGAAGACCGCACCGGATCTCTGATCAACCTTCGTCTGCCGCCGGACCAGCCACGCGCGCCGCACCCGTCGACGAACCTCCGCCACACATCTCGGCCTCCGCACGAAGCACGCCCCCCCCCCCCCTGCGCCGTGATTGCGTCTCTCCGATTGGATTTCACTTCCGATTTCTTTGATCCTCTTCGATTTTTTGGTAAGCTTCGAATTCTTGATTAAGTTCTTATTGTAATAATTGATTTTGTTGATTAATTGAGATTGTTGTGATACTTTATTTGGTGATTTCTTCTTGAGTTGGATTGTCGTTAATTGGTTAATTAATGTCAATTAGGTGTGGAATAGGAAAGTTATCCTTGGTTTAATTGTGTTGATGAGTTAATTTGGTGTAATCGTGGATTCATGAGATGTAGAATTTGTTGAATACACGAGTTACATAATTGATATAGTTTAGGTGTTTGTTAAAATGATTAAGAGATAATTTGAATTTAGAATTGCATTCTAGGAGTTGCACTTGATTAGGTGATAATACCTAAGTGTAGAATAGGTTAGAACCTTGTCCAAATTAATGCATAGGTGTTGTTTCTTGAAATTAAAGAATGGTTAATTGTTGAGAAAACATAGAGTTGGTTGGTTAACCATTAGAATTTTAACATAATTTGGGAATAAAACTTGATTTTGGTTGAGTTTTGGTGCATATTTTTGTTAGAAATTGTTGAAGTGCACATTCTTGAATTGATTAGAATTTAGTGCAACCTTATGAGTTGATGTAATTTGACACCAAATTGTTGAATGATTCAATTCTTTAACACATAAAACCTTAATTTGATAGAAATTACATCAACACATAATTGTTGATTTTTTCCTCGAATTCAAAGTAACCATTGAATTCCTCTTGCTTACAATTTATGCATAATTTTTAAGCGGTAATATTTGAACCGTTGAGCACTTTCGATTACCTTTTTTCATGTTTGAGTTTAATTTCGAATGGAATGAACAAAATTGCACACAACCGCCTGGTTTTGTAAGTAGAACTTGCACTTCGAATTGATTCATGGTATATACTTTTTTGAGCCTGTTAATACGTTGGGAGGCAACCGTGTAATTTTCGTGTGATTCCGCATCAATGTTTTGCACGCCTAATTTTTGAATTTAGTGCTTTTTGGCACTTTTTGACGTATACATTGAGTTTAATCTTCACATAAGCCATGTTTGTATGTTTTGTTCATTTATGAACCTTTTTGTTTAGATTTTCTTGATCCCGAAATGTTTTTCGGGTTGATTATACAAATAACCGTAATGCTGCCCGGAATCCACTTTTATGCTTCCGTTACTTGTTTCATTTCACTCTATGCATGATAATATGTCATTTTAAATTATGATACCGATTGTTGAGTTACATTTGATACTCCTCGTTATTTGCTAATGTGTTTTATGACTTGTGTGAGGTACACTGTGAGAAGCTTTCGATCATGTAACTTAATGTTGATTATTTGATTGAAAAGCATTTGATTTGAGTATTCTCTTCCGATGCGATTCATTCTTGTTTTTTATTTCATATGAAATATACTATCTGTATTATCTGTCTGGATCATTATCTTGTGCAGGTGTACTGTTGTTTTACGTGTGTGTACGATACGTATTCCGTGTTATATTGTATTTCTGTGTTTCTTGTCTGGATTGTTATCTGGTGCAAGTGTACTGTTTAATACTCGGATATGTTCGATACACGTTTTGTGTTGTGATTTATTTTCACATCACTGCTTTGAGGCATATTCCACGTTGGATCTCTGATTATTTTGTTATTGATGCCAGCTTCTCGTGAAGTATTTCGGGTTTCTTTTGCTACCGCTTAGCATATACAGATTGATATCTGTTTGGTATTCTCTTGTGCCTTTTTATCTTGCATTCTTTATAGTTTTCTAGATATCATGAGAAGTAGGAAATAAAGAGCGTGCGCTCGAAGTCGTTGTTTAAAGTCCTTTAGAAGGCATTCCGCACTTATTTGCTACTTGTGTTTGTTTTGTGTGTTTACATTTGTGCCAAAGACCTCAAAAAGAGGCATCCCATTCCTATTCCCCATTATTAAGTCCTCATAAAAGGCAAGGCGGGCAGAGGGTCCATAATTAACCCTGCCATTTTCAGTCTTATGTCATCCCTAACTCGCGTGGTACGCTGATGCTTTAGAGTGTGCTTACTCTTGTATCGAGTCGGTCAAGTGGAAAAGGGGTCCTTAATCAATCCCCCACACTTTGTCTTGAGCTTACGTGGGTCAATGTTAATGCTCAGTGTTTGTTCATATTGTCTTCTATCTCCTACCTCGATTCTCGTTATCTTGGTTAGGTGCTTAGTCACTGTTGACATCACTCCCCGCCCTTATATACTTCTTGTCTTGGTGACATGATACCTTGGTTAAGAGTAGCTTTCATGACCCCTTCTTGCCTAAATGACATATATCTATGGTTAGGAACATCCCATATCCTACCTTGATGACATGATATCATGATTAGGTGTCCCGCTTCCTTTATCCTGCCTTGATGACATGATATCATGGTTAGGTTTCCCTCTATTTTCCTACCTTGACGACACGATGTCCTGGTTAGGTGTGTGCTACTTGAGTAAGTGGATACTTCTTAAGCATTTGTTTAGCTTGATTTTATGACTTGGTTAAGTGCTTGTTTGCTTACATGATTCTTGTTTTGTGTGTGTTCACATGCTCCCCATAGGATTCTTAGTTATTTCTTGGTTAAGATCGAACTAAGTAGACCCTAGGATGTTTATCCATGTATGCCAACATTAGGTAGGTTCTTTCCCTCCTTATCATGACCTTAGGGCCATCTTTGCATGACAACATTAGGGGTAGAACTAGATAGTTTCCCTTAGTTGTTTTCTTTTTTATATTAAGACTAAAACTCTTTTCCTTTGTCAAATTTATAAAACACTTAAAGAAAACATAAATCCTTTTTCAAGGTAAAAATAGTCCACCAATGCAAACCATTTTGTCTTCGGACCTTTTTCTTTTGAAAACCTTTTCGATAAGGGTATGTTGTCTCAAAGTCGAACAATTTGCTAAGTGTGCGAGTGGCCGAGCAAGAGTATTTGATAAGCTACAATACCAAGCACGAATTTCAATCTTAATCACCATGATGCAAAATGGTATTACTCATAAAAATATGCAACCAACCAAAACTTTGTAAGGGGACTACGAGTGCCTTGATCCCCATTGCACGATCGGTGGTACATAGGCATAAAGGTTCACAACCGCGGCAGGCACAACTAATAAATTTTTTTTTGTAAATAATCCTTTGCATTCATGCATTCCCTGTACATGATAGATTTAGATTTTTGACACACCCTTTAGATTAGACAACAAGAGTGGATACTGTAGAGTACTATGGGCGTGTGGGGTGCTAATATCTTCCCCTCACGTAACTGACTCCCTTACCTGATCTCTCGGTTGCAAGACCTTGATTTCACTCTTCAGGTTTACTCGATGTAACCTTTCCCTTCTTCAGGATAAAAAACATTTGATGGCGAATTCATTGTTTACTTTGATGATTTGTCCAGTTACTTCAGAATGTAATTTGGAATCTTCTTGTTTGGATCATCTGTGGTTCTGGTCTTTTTGATTGTATCCCTCAAATAGTAGAACAAAAGTGAAGGAAGACATATCTTCTTCTTAGCCATCAAATAATACAACATGTACTTCTGACGAGCATTAAAGAAATTAGATGAACTTGAAGAAGGTTTCGGGTTAATATAACCCATAATGATTTTGTGCCAAACCCTAAGCTTATTAGGCAAATCCTTACTCTTATGTTCAGTTTTCTCAGGAGAGTAATTCTTAAAGACAACCTTGTTGATAATTTCCTTCAAAAACTTAGATTTGCTATCCATGCCATGAGCCCTTTTTCCCTTCCAGATGCTTCATTCCCAGAATATCTTCTATTGACTTCTCAGTAATGATGATTCTATGTCCTAGCACATGAGAAATCACATGCAGGTTGTCATAACCAGCTTGTTTCCAGAAATCCTTCACTAAAGCTTTATACACAGGACCATGAAGCCTCATGAAATAGTGTTCCCAGCCTTGAGCATGAAATTTTCCCTTAGGTCACAACCGTTGGAAGAAAGATTGTTGAAATCAACCAGATACCCACGAAGAACAAGAAACTCTTGTGGAGGAGTAATACAGGAAACATGAACGGGCATCTCGGTAATGTGGGTTTCATCAATGACAGGTAGAGATGATGAAATATTTACCATGGGAGTAGTAGAACTGGGTGGAACGGTTGAAGATGACGACCCAAAAGTATTCAAGGCTTGTTCCAACTCATTAGAAAACTTAACAACCTCTTGTTGTTGTGCGTTCATCATGTTGAAGTTTGTTGAAGTTGTAGACGAAAGTGATGAACTTTGATGAAGAACATTGATGAAGATGATGAACACAAAGAATTTTGTTAAACAGTTGAGAGAAAAAGGGGTTTAGGGTTTCTAATAAGCGTGGGAGTTAAGTGAGGATGTGTGTGTTATAGTGTTTTTAGGAGAGAGAAAAAAAATGAAAATATACATAATTATTAGGAGTAATAAATGAGAGTAATAATTATGAATTTAATTAATTCTAAGTAAAGCGCACACTTCTCATCGTATAACTTAAGTAGAATATAATGATTAACAATAACCAAGGGTTACACGCGTTAATCAATGCATCTAATTAAGTGACATGTTTTGATATCCTCAGAGTCTGGAAAACCAAATAGTTTCCATCTGATTAGAAACATTTCTGATTGAAACATCTTTTGAGGACCGAGGTTTTGAATGAAAGGAAATACTTTTTGTTTAAATCAAAATCTCATTTATTTAGACTACGACTAAACACATCTGATTTTGATGAAATCTTACTCTGGACAAAAGTCCATTTTCAAATGCTTCATAATGAAAAGAAATATATCTTTAGCTAAGGGTTTTGTAAAGATATCAACCCATTGATGGTTTGTATCTATGAATTTTAAAGATAAAATCCCTTTCTAAACATAATCTCTAATAAAATGATGTTTTATTTCTATGTGTTTAGCCCTAGAGTGTAAAATAGGATTTTGACATAAACAAATAGCAGTTGTGTTATCACAAAAGATAAGAATGTTACTCTCATAAATCTGATAATCTTCCAGTTGATTTTTCATCCATAACATATGAGTACTGCACAATGACGCTGAGATGTATTATTCCTCTGGTGTTGAAAGTGCAATTGCTGATTGCCTATTGTTTGACCATGAAACCAGATTCTTGCCAAGAAACTGATAATTTCCAGAAGTACTCTTCCTCTCCAGTCTGTCTCCAGCGTAATCTGCATTACAGAAACCAGAAAGAGTGTACTCTGATCTTTTCTCATACATCAAGTCAAGGTTAGTTGTTCCTTTCAGATACCCCAGAATTCTCTTAACAACGGTTAAGTGAGATTCTCTAGGATCATATTGGAATCTAACACACAAATGGACGCTGAATAAAATATCAGGTATGGAAGCAGTCAAATACAGAAGAGCCTATCATACCATGATACAACTTCTGACATACCTTTCCACTTACCTCATCTTTCTCTAGAATTCATATTGGATGCATCAGAGTCTTTGTTGGTGTGCTGTCCATTGAAGCTACCGGCAGAAAACACAGAGCCGCCACCGAAATTTATTTATCCCGAAGGAAGGGGAAATATCGATAAAACCACAAGGGAGTGGACAAGATGGTCTTGCGACCAAGATAAAGGGTAAGGGAGTCGGTTATGCAAGGGGAAGGTATTAGCACCCCTCACATCCATTGTACTCAACGGGATCCATTTTGTTTATTTGTCTTAAAGGGTGTATTTATCTACAACTATGCTTGCTTAAAGGGAAATGGATGGTTTTTGATTATTGCGTTCGTGAGGGTTTTGCAACCCTTTGCCTACGTATCCAATGAAGGAATCATAACACCGTAGTTCCTCTAGAAAAAAGGTTGGTTTGTTTGTGTTTTTTAGTGGGCGACGTTAACGCACACATTCTAGCGATAGGCACGGCCGGTATCGCGGTAGAACGGAGATAACATGCCCTTGGGGGGAGTTTTGATTGGTTGAGTGTTTTTGGGAGTTTTAAAATAAGTTCAAGTAATGATTAAAAGCGTTTTTGGATTTTTGATTTGTGAATGAGAAGTTTCAATTACAAAGGAAAGGGTTAAGAGGGAGACTAGAAACCTAATTGTTTGTTATGTACAAGTGAGCTAAAAGTCTATTTCGACGTAAGGCGATCGAACGGGTTTTAATCGCCTCCTGGAACTAATTAAGGGAGTATGACATCGGGGTTTGAATGAACAAATAAAGAAACTAAGACCCTAAATATGTATTGTTTTAAGAAAAATAATACTATAATATTTTTTACAACTTATTGCGAAATGAGTATCGTAACTTAATTTTAATTTATTTTGGGTATTTTATTAAGTTAAATAAAACAAATTGAATTAAAGAAAATTAAACAAAATAATTAAGTAAATACAAAATGAAAAAATTAATTAAAACAAACATGTTTTGGTATTTTTTTTATTTTTTTTATATTTTTTATCATGCAATAACTATGTAAAGAAAAGAAATAAAATAAATATATTTTTATATTTGTATATAGTAAAATACATAGAGATAAAGTCTAAAAAAACTAAAAAAAGGATGAAAAATTCCCTAGCAGGGGTTGAACCCAGGTCCCCATGGTTTATTGTTAGATGCTTTGCCAGTTGAGCTACATTGTTTATTCGTTATAATAATGGTTTAATTACAACAAAAGGAGAAACGGTGATTGAATTGGGCCATTGGGCCAAAAGGCCCAAAAGGAAGATGACCCGGTTTGGATAAGGAAGAGGAAAAGTTGGAGAAACCTAATGCAATAAAGGGGCGCCGCGCTCATCAACTAAATAAGGTTGTTGTTTTAACCTTACTTTTAATACTTATTTCCAATTTCAAAAGACACCCAATCATTGGGTGACATATGGTTTTGGTTTTATTGAACAAAATAGAAAATAAAAAAACAATTTATGTAAGTATAACGTAACAAAGAAAGAGAAGTATCAGTAAGGTTAAAACACATAAAACTCCATCTCTCTTCTTCTTAACAACAAAATTAGTTCTCACAAATTCAACCTATCTTTAGACAACAAAATCCTTGAATCAAAGAAAAATGGATTAGAATTACCGGAATCAAAAAGCGTCGGTCTTCATTAGCGCAGTGGCTCACGATTTCGTTTCCAATTTGCGGTGGTGGTCTACAAGCAGATCTGCAGCAAGAGTTGAGTTTCGACGGTGATTGCGATGTCGTATGGAAGGCGTGGCTTGCCAGAGTTCGTCGGATTCATTTGCATATCTGGGTGTGGTTGGCGTCGAAGAATGGAAGAAAGGTCGCGGTTGGAATGATGCGTGTCAATGAACGGCGGAGTTCTGGTCACACGATGGGTGAGGATCTTATCGGATCTCCTTCTTCTTATTATTTCCTTCTAAGTTTCAACTTTTCACACTTTGAAATTCTTTTGCACATCTGGTTTCGAAGAGGTGTTGTTATTGCGGTGGCATCTCGGTTTTCTTCTCTTTCTCAACAATCGAAATGGAGCTCGAATGATGTGATGAAGGAGAACTTTGAGAAGAGGTTGATGGATAGAGGACAGTTGTTATGGATTCTGAACGTGAGCGGAAAGGTGATTGTCTCCGCGAACGAAAAATATGAACGGGTTTGTGAGATGGCTATGGAAGTGAGGTATGGTGTTGAAGGCGTCCGCAGTTTGGATTGTTATTTCTGCAGGTTATGTTATTCAGGTTTTGATAGTGTTTCTATCTCTTCTTTATAGTCAGTCCCTCATAGAATTGGAGGGAGATTTTTGATAAGCTTGAATAATTTTGGTGATCTGTTTTATTGCTTTTCTGATATAGCTTTTTCCTTACTAATTATGTGCAATTTTGACAGGTTTTTCTTTTACTGTTTATGGTCTGGTTTTAGTACAGGGTAGCAGGGCTTGGCCTTATTATGCTTTCGTCAACATCACAGTAATTAGCACTGGCAAAAGGACAGGTAGCAGCTGCAAGATGGACACCAATGCCATGTGTGCATTTAGATGCAGATAGTCCACAATGGCAAAGCCCGCACGTCATCATAGTAGATAGTTCTACTTTAGAAGAAGCAAGCCAAGCATATTGAACATTAGCATCCCCACAGAATTTTTTTCGTAATTTCAGCTTGCTTTCTCAAACAGCTCCAATCGTGATTGCATCAATGTACTTGAGAAGGGGTAAATCTCAACTATGTCAGCACTACCAAAACTACTAGCTCCCTTAAGAAACATATTCTGTACATTTTCCAAATCTAACTTTTCATATACAGTTTCATTATAAGCATTAAAACCTATATTTTTATTTCGCTCAATGAGTTTACCAACATTTCCATTTCCAATTTTATTACTGCCATCTCCAACTTCTAAATCATTTTGACTGCAGGCTTGTTTAGCATCAACTTGTATATGTTTAACAAAAACATTGGACTCCCTACTGCACTCCCCAAACTGGGAAGCATCCACTCCGTTTATTTCAATTTCTAAATGTAATTTTATTTCATTAGGATCTTGGAGGAATGATTCATGACCTTTTCCACAGTCCTGATTGCATAGATCATAATAAGGCCCTTCATTAGAGGAAGCATAAATTTCAGGAAAAAAGCAACACCCGTTCTCATCAATCTAAGCAATAGGTTGCTGCAAATCAGATTTCAAATTCATTTGATACATGTGCAAAAAATTCAGCACAAGATGATGGCCACTTAACTCAACCTTAACAACTGCTTTCTTTACATCAAAATCTTTCCTTACCAAGTCAAGAACATCCCTGGGAAAGTCCTTCCATCCACCATTTTCATAGACCACCAAGCGTTCAGGGCGTCCACTCTTCTTAAAATTCACATAATACCGAATTAACGACTGCCCCATGCAAGTCTCTGAATTTGTAGGCTTGCTTTTGTACCTGTTCAATCTCATCCGTTTGACAATCTTGTTTCTTGGTGATATGAGTATTGGACGGTCCAAAGCGAGATTGAACGATGAAAATACCATGGCGAGGAGTGAGGACGAATGACTTGAAGATGAAGACTTGAAGAAACACACATCATTTCTCTCCTTTTTTTGTAAACAAACGATTGTAATTTGTTTTTCATACTGTAACATATCTTGTAACTTGTCTCAAAAAATGTAATGAGCACGAATTTGAACGAATTTATCAATGATGAACCTTGTTGTGGAAATCAAATGACTCTTGAATCTTGTTTGAATTCTATAATTTTCTCTTGAATAATTCAAATGCGCATCTCAACTTTGTAACTTAAAACTCAAGAAATCATGAATAATGGTTATAACTTGTATTCCAAACAAATCACGCGCCTTATCTTTCAAAATCCAATCAAACTCTCAAACAAAATAAATGCCTAAGAATTTAATTCCACAGAGTAATTCGAACCCCAAAACACCGGCCGCTTGAACCTTAATCTTCAAATCATGCCTGAACCACACTTGCGCTTCTCGAACAGAACTCTGACTTTGACATTCAACCCACAATAACTTGAAACTTAAGCAACAAAAAAAGTCCTGATTATTATGAACCTTTAACCTCATTTTCCGAAGTGCTCGACCTCCACAGCTGCCAATTCAAACTCCAAATTCTCGACTCAATGGCTTAGAGACTTAAAGAAGAAACTTGAAATGCGAGGAGGTGGAATTCTTGACCTAACGCACTGAGCTCAGAGCCATCCTCGAGGCAGGCGAAAGAAACATCTTCACATAAACCAAAAAATCTAAAAACCCTAGCATCTTGACCGGCACACATAGGGAAATAAACCCTAATCCAAGCTCTGATAAATTTGAGCGAGAACCAATCCTTGTAACCTGACGACACAATTCACTCCATGACCCGCTAATCGAGAACCACATGTGCTTCCTTTGTACTTGATAAGAAAACCTCAAAACAATATTAGACATAAAGAGGGCGCAACCCTAAAACTTTAAACCAAAGCGCCTGATTCCCTGAGATGCGGGATATGCAAATGACTGAATAATAAAATGATGCAAATGGAATGCAAAGTTCCAAGCCAGACAAGAATAAAAGAGATGGGGCAAATTTGGGGTACGACATCCATCATGTTGAACTTCTTCAGAAGTTATTTGGTATACTTACTCTGATGAATGTAAGTAGCTTCTGATTGTTGATCAATTTGAATTCTCAGAAAGAACTTCAGTTCTCCCATCTAACTCATCTCAAACTCAGCCTGCATCAACTTAAAAAATTCCTCGTAAAGAGAGGGATTAGCAGAACCAAAAACAATATCATCAACGTAAATTTGAACTATCAGAATATCATTTTTGAATGTTTTACAGAAGTGTGTAGTATCAACCTTCCCTCTGGTAAATTTATTTTCTAAGAGAAAACAACTCAATCTGTCATGCCAAGCTCTGGGAGCTAACTTTAGACAATAAAGAGATTTTTTGAGTTTAAAAACAAATATGATTTCTCAGAGTTTTCAAATCTAGGAGGTTGTTTAACATACACTTCTTCTAAAATATAAACATTCAGAAATTCACTTATAACATCCATCTAATAAAGGATGATGTTATTATTAACATAAAAATAAATTAATAAAAGAATTGATTCTAACCTAGAGATTGGTGCAAAGGTTTTCGTATAGTCTATCCCTTCTTGCTGACTATAACCTTGTGCAACCAGTCGTGCCTTGTTCCTGACAACTTCACCCTTCTTGTTGAGCTTGTTTCTAAACACCCATCTGGTTCCGATGACGTGGAAACCTTTAGGTTTCTGAACAAGATCCCATACATCATTCTTTTAGAATTGGTTCAATTCTTCTTCCATTGCCAAAATTTAATCTTTGTCTAGACGAGCTTCATCAATAGATGTTGGCTCAACCAGAGACACTAAACCCAGAAGCACCTCTTCAGAAGGTTTAAAGGCTGGTCTGGTTCTGACAGAAGCGTCCTTGTCTTAGAGAATTAAATCTTTAGGGTCAGAGATTTGAGTTTTGCTTCTCTTTTGTTGTGGAGGATCAGAAGGGGCAACAACACTATCAGAAGTAGGAACTTATGATGCTTTGACTTCTTGTTCCTTCTCCTTAGGTTCTAAGAATTTTATCTCCATATCTACAAGCTTTTCAACTAGCTTGGACTTTTTAAAGTCAAGCTTATCATCAAATATGACATGAATTGATTCCTCCATAATTCGTGATTATGTGTTATAGACTCTATAGCCTTTTGAGTGTTCAGAATATCCTAACAGCAGACACTTCTTTGCTTTGGAATCAAACTTTCCCAGATTCTCTTTAGTGTTCAACATAAAACATACACATCCGAAAGGATGGAAATAAGAAATGTTGGGCTTTCTATTCTTCCATAGTTCATATGGAGTCTTACACAAAATAGGTCTTATAGAGATCCTATTCTAAATGAAACAAGTTGTATTTACTGCATCTTCCCAAAAGTGCTTAACCATTTTAATTTCTTGGATCATGGTGTGAGCCATTTATTGTAATGTCCTATTCTTCTTCTCTATAACCCCATTTTATTGTGGAGTTCTAGGGCAGGAGAAATCCTGGGATATACCATAAGAATCAAAATATTTTTCAAAATATTTGTTTTCAAATTCTCCACCGTGATCACTTCTGACTCTGACTATTTTGTAACTCTTTTCATTTTGTACTTGAGAGAGGAAAGAAGCAAATACGGAATGTGACTCATCCTTGTGTTTTAAGAATTTTACCCATGTCCATCTGTTGTAATCATCAATGATGACTAGTCCATATTTAAGGGTGAGAAAACACTTAGAAGGGGGGGGGGGGGTTGAATAAGTTTCTCTTTTTCTTTTTCTTAAAGGCTCAACAATAATGGAAAGACAAGGTTATTTTTATCCTGGTTCATTTGAACTCAAAATACTCCAGTCCACCCGCCAAGGTGATTTCGCCTTTCTCAACAAGGACTTAATTCACTATAATCAACTGATTACAATCACACAACAACTGTTGTGACTAACAATGCACAAGTAATCTTACAAGTGACTCACACCACTAAGACTTAAACTAGTCCTAGTCTACTTGAGAAATCTGACCAAACTTGGTCTCTCAAGGAACAATTACAAGATTTAAATCTTTACAGATAGTGAAACAAAGTTTGCTTCTAAGAAAGCTTTATCGTAACTGTGATTTTTCACTAAGAATAATATTGCACAAAGTGTATGAAAAAATAATTTGTGAGCCCAGAATATTTTCACGTAGTTTTTGCTTCTTTTGAAATTGATGAGTAGTTGGCTTGCAATAAATGTTCTTCTATATATAGTAAGAACAAAATGACCGTTGCTGCCTTCAAAAGTGGAGAGCATTAAATGTTTGCGTGTTTCCTTGCACTATTCCATTTTCCAATGAACTAGCATAGTCACTTGAGTGCATGTAGCCGTCCTTGCATTAAATGAGCAAACAACACTTGTAAGAGCATGTTTCCTGAAGCTTGACAAACCTTGTTAGCTTTTACATTCTTTCAGAACTAGCTTCACGTCTTGAATCAGAACATGCTTGCATATCTTGCTTGCAGAATCCTTCTGAACATAGCTTGCTTTCAAAGTACTTTTGATCAGCGCTTGCCTTCAAATTACTTATGAACAACACTTTCTTTCAAGGTACTTCTGAACAAGGAAACCTGCTAAGTGTTATAAGATGCATTTAAATAATTATCTTACCAGAGTCAGCATCAGCACTTGCGTTAAAACAAATAGTTCTTTCATCAAAGAACTTCTTTATTTATTTTCAGCTCAGCACATCAAAATGCTTCTGTCAGAACATTATCTGAAAAAATCAAATACGTTCATCAGAGTATCAATTATATAAAATATAATTTATTGTTATCATTAAAACTCTGAGATATGATCAGAACCAATCTTGTTCTAACAATCTCCCCCTTTTTGATGATGACAAAAAATATTCAGATATAGAAATAAAATTGAATAAGAGATAAGAATCTCCCCCTGAAATAAACATTTCTATAAGAAAAACTTCCTGAGAATTTTCATCAGAGCTTTGAAATTTTCTTCTGAGATTTCTTCAGCAAGTCTTTTGAAGATAATGTTCATTTGAGTTGAACTTCCAGAGTTTAAGTGATACCTGCAAAATTCTTTTAAACATATAAAGAAATCTTGTATTTTGTTAGAATGTTTGAGACTTAGTTCCATAACTGTTAATCAGAGATTAGATCAAAATACTCATTTTCTCCCCCTTTTTGGCATAATAAAAAAGTAAATAAAAATAATTGAAGAGCGTAAAATTTTAATAAAAAAATATCCAGAGGTACAAAACAACAAACAAAAACAAGAAATAGAATGACACTAAGATTTCTTAGAAATAAGGGCCATAAGAAGATTCTTGATCTCAGATGCAGATTCCTCTTGTTTCATTATTTAGTTTCTGATTTCTTGGTTTTTCTGATCTTGCTTATCCAAGCGCTCATGAATGACTTCATTTTCCCTCTTAAGCTCATTCAGAGTATCCATTACAAGTGAAGTAGGAGCAGAGGATGAAGAAGCTTCAGCAGATACAACCTTTGGAGCAGAAACCGTTGAGTCAGAACAAACAAAAGTTGAAAGTAAAATGCCCAGATCCATCACAAGAGTTGGCACAGGTTCAGGTGCTGCTTTAGCAGAAGGTTGATTAAACAGAACTATTGCCAGAGGATTTGAATCTTCAGAGGCATCTTCCGATTCATCTTCTGAAAAGTCCATTTGATCAGCTGGAGAATTAGCAATCATCTGAGAATACTTCTTGTTCCAAATATCAGCAGCTTATGACTTGAATGCATGCAGATGTTTGGAGAAGTTCTCAAGAACCTGAGAATGACATAAGTCTTGCAGCTTTAGTGACTCAGCATCTAAGGTTCTTCTGAATGTTTCCCACAGAAGATCTGTTGTTGCTGGGTTCACACTTCTGGTGCGGTCTTCCTTCAGCAGGTCCAACCAAGCTTGAACTTCTGTTAAAAAATTCTGAAAAAATATATTTACATCTGGATGAACAGGT